TGGGCGGGCTATTGATCTTGCTCGGCGGGAGGAGGCAGATACAGCAAACATAATACAAAATGGAAAACGTTCTGAAAGGAAAGTCCATTCACATGTGCTTCGCCTGCTTGTTCTCCTGCCTTGGGCTCCATTCATTAGCGGCATTGCTGGGTTGAGATTAAGTACTTTTAATTTTTGATATTTTTAAATTATTTTAAGGTATTATTATCAAAAATAATATTTTTAAGATAATTTTTATGATTGTAGTTTAAAATAAATAAATTATAAAAAAGTGGTTAAGTGTAATTAATTGAGTTTAGGGCTTTGCCCTGAACCCTAAAAAAAGCACGCTACTTTCTCTAAATTCCTATCAAATTCATTGTATTGTTGAATTCATAAAAGCGTGTTGGAGATTAGAAACTAACTTTGATATTAAGTTGAAATAATTAAAATTAAACATAAAAATAAATCTTTATTAAATTCATCATATAGTTGAATTTGTGAAAGCTGTGTTCGAGATTAAATCTTGTTTTATTAAACTAACTTTGATACTATATTAAAATAATTAAGATTAAACATAAAAAAAAGAAAGTTAGAATTCTGAATGATTTGTTTATTATGAGTATTTGATTTTAATCTAAATATAAATAAAATATATATAGATTAAATTAAAAGTACTATTCTACTTTTAATAAGTAAATAAGATTATATAAATATTATTTAATAGAAATAATAAGTGAGCAAACAACACCATTTTTAAGGAACATCTCTTTGTTAGGTAAGGGATTGGTATCAATATTGTTAAAGTCATGAGTTAATTTGTAAAATTATGATTTTACGAGTCAACTTGCATATAAAATATAAATTCAAGTTAAAAACTTGAAACTTAGTAACCTCCGTCAACTCAGCTCAAGTTTACAAGCTTGATAAAAATTACAAAATTTATTGACTCATAATCCTAACTTTGCTTTTTGCCCAGATATCACATTCTCTAGTCTTCACCTTAGCACTATTAGCATCAACAATACTAATTCGGGTTTGGGATTTTGTTAGAGATATAGACAAGGCGAGTGAGAAGGGGGGGAGGAGAGGAAGAGGGAAGCACCAACAACACTAATTAGGGTTGCGATTTTGTTGGGGATGTAGACAGGGCAATTGAGAGAAGAGGAGAAGAGAAAATGAAGGATTTAAGAAACGAGAAATTTTAGGGTGATGGAAATGGAAGCCATGAGATGAGAAGTAGAGTAAATAAATGCAAGAGAGGAGGAGAAGAACGGTGTGACTTTTGAAAGGAGGCTGGTGCAATCAAAGTGATAAGAAGATTTTTGCGTGGTCCACAGTTAAGTTGAATATTTTATTTGTATAGTCTATAATTGAAATGAATATTTTACTTGTAGTTTAATTAAATTGTTATGATTTTAATTTACTCTCATGTAGATTAATATTTTAAAAATAAATTGACATATTTTTGCAACCTGTGAAGCTAAAGCAGCAAATCAGGTTATAATTTATTATCTTTTATATTTATTAATCTTATAATTTCAGTATCAAGGAAGGATTTTATTGATGTTCTTGAAATATGGCATGTAAATAACTTGTATATTTATAAAAAAATAAATAAAAAATTGTTTTGAAATGATGGCTAATTCCTGCGAAGACATTTTTTTTAATTTCAATCAATACATTCAGGATTCGTTATTCCTTTAAACAATTATTAAAAATAATTTAGTATTTTAAATCAAATAATTATTTAAATTATATATTTTAAGGTTTTTGAATATTTATATTATTTATTTTGCATTTATTTTAATTATATTATATTATTATTTTCTACTTAATTGAAATTATTAATATATAATTAATTAAAATATTTTATTTATAATTTTATTATTCTAATTTACAATTAAAATTTATATTAAATATTTCATGTCATGTAAATTTTTTTTTTTTAATAACCTTTATCGTTATCAAGAGGAATTGAACAGAAAATATTATGATAATACACTAATTTCTAGTTATTCAGGTGTGTTACTATTCACGTTACCAGTTAATTACCATAATATGTTATTTAAGTCGGCTATTAACAACTACCTGTCATGATGGAGTTGGCTAGCGTGCGGATAAACATTGGGGTCGTGTGTTTGAGAGCTCACAGGCGCGTAAATTTTCTCAATTCTGATAGGCGACTCAAATTTTTTATTTTACATAAAACTTAAGGGACAAATTTAGATGTTGTTTGTCTCTCCAGTATTAAAAAATAAATAACAGGCGCACGGGGCTGACCCTTTGCTTATTTTTTTATTATTTTTTTTGGTGTTTTTTTTTTAATACCGAGAAAATTTATAAGATACACTTATTTTTTATTCAATACATGTTTCTTAGATACCATTATAATTTTTTCTTTAAGTTTTAATATTTTTTTCAGTTATTATATTTATAATTTGAAAATAATATTATAATAATAATTTTTTTGGATTGCCTGTTCACTTGACTCAACAATTATAAAAAGTTTTTATAAACAAAAATAATGATTTTAATCAAAAACATTATGCTAACTAAGATAAATAATAAAAATATTAATATATTTTTAGATTTAATGGCAACAACAACATATTTTCCGAGGCCTCTATATTTTCTTTTACTTTAAAAAAATTTAGATCTCTCTAGGTGGTAAAGTGAACATACAAACCAGTAAAATCTAGATTGACTTGTTTATTTACCCTCTAATTTCCGAATACATGATGTTCAAACCTCGAAATTGATTTTCAATCCAGATTTCTAACCTTCTTGACGGACAAAATCAATTGAAACTCAACAAAAATCTCAAAAAGCTTACTTGGATTCGGATCCAAACCAAGCACGAGAAAACACAAATCATCTTTCTCCCCCAGTAATTCAAGACCCAGCACCATTTCAAGCGAGCAAGTATTTTTTCTAAGGGAAAAAACGCATGCCATGTCATCGATCCGCTTCATTACGAACATCGTAATCTTGACCAACCATTCAAAAACAAATGGCCCAAAGTTATCTTCAAAACACTTGTCTCTGATCGACCGCGATGGACAATCCCTTGCGTGTCCCTCATAAATATAACCTATACCGCCTTTCACCGTCACACGAAATCCCTAATATCTTTCTTTCTCGATCTCGATTCCCACCTGGACGTTCAATTCCAAGTCTGCTCTCTCGGTATTTCTCTCTCTCATTATTTTTCACCTCTGTTTTTTGTACTCGTTTTTGGGTGTAATTTGATTTTCACTGGGTGATTTCGCTTACAAAATACGGTCTGGTTGATCTCTGCTTCAAACGAAGGCTACGGTTTCATTTGATTGTGGACATCTAAAATCAAGATTCGAATCAGCACCTGAATATATTAATTGTGCTGAAGTGTGTTTCTATTCCTCCGTTCTCAGCTGGTATCTTTGTTTATTTTTTTATTAACGCTGCTTGTTTGGTCACTAGGAAAACGCGAGAAAATATTAATGTCCGAGAAATGTGTTTAGATTTTCTTTTCCTTCAGTAATCTTGAAAATTTTAGTTTTCCCAAGCCGATACGTGTTTGTTAGCTGAGTTTTTCGTGCTTGGTCTCAATTTCTTGGGTTTTGTTTTTTTATATGAATCGCTATCATGTGCTGACGATTCTCATGTGGAATCTTTTCCACAGATCCTCTCGTTAGCTAGATAAACATGTCTGGACGTGGAAAGGGAGGCAAGGGCCTGGGAAAGGGAGGAGCCAAGCGTCATCGCAAGGTCCTTCGTGATAACATTCAAGGTATCACCAAGCCTGCAATCCGCCGTCTTGCTCGGAGGGGCGGGGTCAAGCGTATCAGCGGCTTGATCTATGAAGAGACTCGTGGTGTGCTCAAGATCTTCCTCGAGAATGTTATCAGAGATGCCGTGACGTACACTGAGCATGCCCGCCGCAAGACCGTTACTGCCATGGATGTGGTGTATGCCCTCAAGAGGCAGGGAAGGACTCTGTATGGGTTCGGTGGTTAGGGCTTTTGATTTTAAAATAGAAGTCTTGCTGTCAAGAAAGGGGCTTTTCAGGGATGGGGTTTAGATTTGCTAATTAGGTTTTTGTAGGTACTATTTTGTAAGTATAAGCGCGTGATGGGTTAATGTTGAATTTATATTTTTTTTTAATTCTTGGAATGGAAATGGTTGAGTTTCGATTCAACCTTTGACGGTCTTGTGTTTTTTATTTTACGGGCTCGACTTTCTTTGCTTGATTTGACTGACACCTAAATTAAAGATACGTGGTTAATATAAAATCTGAGATGTGGCAAAAACGCAAGTTTTCGAGGACCACGCTTCCCTCGATCGCCGGTGTGTGGTTGTGGGCGGGATTGATCGATGTTGCTTGGCGGGAATAGACAGTGACAGCAACATAAAACAGAATGGGAAACGTGCTTCATGGAAAATCCAATCACATACGCTGTACCACCTGCTTCTCCTCCTGCCTTGGGCCCCATTCGCTGGGGGAATCATATTTATTAAAACTGTTGTAACAGAATAATAAGGCATCTCCACTTTTCCTTTTTTTTTTTTGTTTTCATATCATAGAATGCATTGAAGGTGAAAATCTAAAACAGTTTTTTTTTGCCATAGAAAAATCATTCTTATTTATCTATTAAAACATACAAAACAATAAAATAAATTATTTAAAAAATCCTTCTTTCATGGTTTTTGTTAAATATTAATATTAATTATATTAAAGTACAAATGAGGTGTTAGAATGAATTTGTTAGTGAAGTGCACGTAATAAAAAAACCTTTTTATTTTATTGAAAAAATTATATTATTAAATTGGCTTTTTTAAATGATTTGTCATTGAAAATATTCCACTGTTCTTTTGTTCCTTAATCTTGCAAGCAATTTTGTCATGACGTGGAAAGTAAGGATAAGGAAAGTAGTGTTAGATTTTGTGGTTGCTTTTAAATATAATTTTTATTTGTAAATATATTAAAATTATTTTTAACATAATATATAAAAAATATATATTTTTTTAATTATATGGCTGTGAAAGCAAATAGTATCCATCAATAATGAAGAAGCCAGTGTAATGTGGTCCTTCCTAATCAAGGGATATGTCTTTTGGGTGGTAGAACTGCCAAAGGAATGATGAGAGCCAAAAGGGTGCAAAATGTATAATTAAAAGCTTCTTTAATCGGTTCTTGCAAATGGGAAATGGCATCTTTATTCGCTCCTAGTTCTGCCCACCAACCAACGCCAAACAGCATCCAAAAAACACTCCAAAATAAAGGAGGATTGAAAGTCAGCAGTAACAATCATAAAAATGTCCGGAAAAAAAACATTGTAAATGGGAAGTCAATAATGGCCGGCAAAGGTGTTGTTCTGGGTCCACCTCACATTGAAGATTTCCAAAACTCGCAACACGTGTCAATAATCCGTTCAGTCTCGGGTCCCCTTAGCGTGTTCGGTACACTAACAGCCACAACAAAAACAAAAAAGCCAAATTACAAGAAAGACCGCGGTTACTTTATTAGCCCTAACCCTGAGCAACAACCTATCAAAGCAATCTTTGATTCCCTCCCTCCCTCTCCCTCTTCCAAGAAGTTGCAAAGAAACATCTCTCTCTCTCTAAAATCACTCACACTCGTTCTCAAATCAGGTAATAATCTGTTTGTGTTTTTATTTTGATTAACCAAAACCCTCGTATTCTCCGATTCCTATTTGGAGGGTTGATTTTTCTCCCTTTCCGCTATCTTCCCCGAAACGTTCTTCGCTCTTTTTTGTTTTTTTCAATCCTGGTTTCAAACACTTCTGTCCATCGAGTATAGATTATCTAATCAAATGTTCAAAAGGACGTTTTAAGGAGACTGCTGTCCTTTTTTTTTTTAATAATGATTGATTTATTTGTGGATTTGAAAAGTGAAATGTTTGCATCTGTGCTAATCTCTGATTTTAATGTCATTAATTCAGTTTTTTTTCCCTTTCGGCTTATAATCTGACGTGTCTGTTTCAATAGTAGTAGTTAGTCATCGATGGTAATTTTAGGTCAACTTGTTAGTTTTTTACTCACGGTCTAATTGATGGATTTGGGCTTCAGTTACTTTTATTGATCGCTGCGTTCGCTATTGTTTTTTTTTTTTATATATATATATATTAAGATTTGGATATTAATGACAGTATTAAGATGAGAGTGTTGAGGCTTAGCTTTCCAGATTATTTTGATCATGAAATTCTTACTGGGTTTTATGATAACCCGCCCGTGATATGGATCTAGTTTGATATTTTCATGATCAATCAGTGTACTTCCTTTTGTTTTTTTCCGCTTTTCTTGAATTTATTGACTAATTAAGGAGATGGGTAGTTTTGTCGTGTTGTGCTGTCTGCAGGTGCTAACTACCCGTAGCAATAACTTTTCTTGGTGCTAAAAGACTATGAGAAACTGACTGATTTTAGTCATTGAAAATAATAAATTTGCTAATATGGTTTCAGTAATTATTGGGGTTGGATTTGAAGGCAACTCAGGATATTTTGTTGGGGATTAATCCATGAATTATTTTTGTTAAGGTATTGAAAAGGGTTGTGAACGTGCAAACTTTGAAGTGATGCCGGTGTCAGGAAATGAAGAGGTGTTTATTTTCTTTCTGAGTTCCTGTTAAGTAACATTATAGAACATTTAAAATGTTTTCCCCCTTGATATTTGATTCACTAATCTCTTGTTGGCAGGCTGGGGTTAAACCCCTTGCATGGCAGTCCAGTCTTAACATTGCAGGTGTTCCTATCAAGAAAAGGAGGTTCATTCGCCCTCCTTCGCCTCCACGAGAAGAACAATCTGTGCCACTGGTGGAAAAAGATTCTGTGGAGAAAGGACCTGGCAGAACATCTGTGGAGTCAAATCTGTTCAATGCTAGTGCTGCAGCGAGTCCTGATTTATGCAATCCATGTGAGAATTCTGTACCTGAAGAAAATAAGAACAGGTTGGACGGCATTGTGCTGATGAACATTGCTAACTGCTCGGTAGTTAAAGTTGAAGAACTGAACCAAACAATCCAGTCTGATTCTTTGGCTGAATTTGGAAAAGAAGAGAAGCTTGTGGTGGCAGAAAAGTCTGGCAAAGCGCAGCTGATTTCAGTAAAAAATGAGTTGAATATAGAAGACAGTAAAGGTAAAGAGATACACAGCCAACAAATATCAGAAGGAAAGTGTAAATCAGAGACACCTATAGTTTCAGAAACTTCTCAGTTTTCTTTAGGTTTAAAGGAACGTGATGTTTTGTCATTCGAATGTTATAGCAATGTTGGTAGTCAAAATCATGAAAATGTAGGAGCTGTTTCATCGAATTTTTCTTTAAGCAAGGGTGAGACCGGTATTCAGCACAAAATGCACACTATTCTGGCTACTGGCAGCACTGATCTACGGACTAACAGATCAAACTGGGACTTGAATACTACTGCGGATACATGGGATGGTTCTACCAGTGATGAACATGCAGCTCAAGTAACTGCTGATGCGTGGAACAGAGTAGGTGTTATACATGATATTACTACAGGAATAATTGGAACTGGTATTGCTAAAGAAAGGCAACTCCTTGATGGGAGTGAGTGCAGATCTAGTTTTCCCCAAACATTCTCAGAGTGTGCCAAGGAGTGTACTTCTGAGGATTCTCTTCATCTACGTCTCAGTCCAGCATTTCCTTCAATTAACTTAAGCAAGGAATCTTCCAGCTCTTCTGCTAACAAAGAAAGACGGGTTATTCCTAATATTAGCTTGCCTGGTGTCTTGTTGTCAGCAGGCAATGCAACCATGGATAACTCTAGGTCCATAAAATCAGAACCTTTTGATGGGAGCCTCAAACATGATCTTAGAGGAGCTAAAGTCAATCCATTTGATATTTTTGTGAAGCGTGAGTTAGTTGAGAAGGGTAGTCCAGAAAGCTCAAAGTCTTCAGCTTTTGTTTCTCTGAAATTAGCTGGTCAGGGTTTCATAAAACCTGAACCATTTCCTGATGGTAAACCAGAAATTCCCAGGATGATAGAGGGGCTGTCAATCCAGCCTGATAAACAAGTGCTACAAGGTCAGGATACTGGAGGGCAGGCTCCTTGCTCGACTAGTAAACAAGTGCTGCAAGGCCAGGATACTGGAGGGCAGGCTCCTTGCTCGACTAGTAAACAAGTGCTGCAAGTTCAGGATACTGGAGAACCTTCCTGTTCAACTAATGACTGGGCGAAGGAAGGTCAAGATATCTTAGCAAAACCTACTTGTTCAACAGGTTTGTCTATAAGTGGCAATGCGTCAGAATGTTTAGAGCATACCACATGTGCTGAAGGTGTGCTTCTTAGGAAGGAGATTGTAAAGGAAGCATGTGGAAGTGCTGGGCAGCTTTCTTCAGAAATGGTTTATGTACCTGTGGGTCACAGTGGCAATGAATTAAATGCTTCTGTTATGATAGATACTCCAATTACCGAGGGCAGAAATGTGGATATTCCTGAGCAGTGCGAACTGAATTTTACAGAGGAAGTTCCTGCAGGTTCACATGGAAATGGTGAGGGTTCAGTAACTGATGAGGAAAAGATCAACTTGTCTGGTGATATGCTAGAAGAAGATACGTATGGCTCTGGCTATGAATCTGACGGTCATTCTGTGGCTATGGATATTGAAGAAGAGCATCGAGAACACGGGTATGAAGATGGCGAGGTTCGAGATCCGCACCTGCAGGCTGTGACAGAGTGTCAGAAATTTGAGGTAAAAGATGTTAGTCATGGTAATTGTGGTAATTCTGAGCATGAAGAGGTAAACTCTGAACTTGCTGGGGATGATCATCATATTTCATCCCATGTTGAGGAAAATGACTCTAAAATAAAAGTTTCTGAAAACAATGAAGATACTGTGAAAGAATGTATCACCACAACCACTGAAGATGCTGATAATGCTATTATGAAAAAATCATCAACAGTTGAGATTCCATCTTGTGGGGGAGATCAGGAGAGGGACACCACAATCATTGAAAGAAAATCACTCGACACATCTGGACAGAAAGATGATCTGATAGGCCAGGGGGCAGATTTGTCACCTGGACAAGACATTACTGGAGGTCAAGGAACTTTAGTTTCTATTGAGCAAGGTTCCGACAAGAACATTAAAACAATTGATGTGGAAAAGAATGAGTTGCCTGAGGTAGAAGCATCTTTAAATGGTCGTGATATGGCAA